GGCACATCAAGCTCGCCCTCCTCTGGCAACGCTGCCTCGAGATTCTGCGCGTATGCTAAGGCGACATCCGGTTGCTAATGTCGCTCTAGGTTGTACCGTGACGGGCGTCGGTACCGTACGTTGTTGATGACGGAAAGTTTTGGGCGCAGTTTGACCATCACCAGGTAGTGATCAGAATCGATGTTAGCGCCACGATAGGTCCTGACGGCGATAATGTCGGAGAAGTGTCGTCCATCAATCAGAACGTGGTCGATTTGCGATTCCGTCTGCTGTGGTGATCTCCAGGTGTAACGATAGGGGAGGTGGTGTTGGAAGAAGGTGCTACGTATGGCCATCTTCTTGAAGGCGGCGAAATCGATAAGTCGTAGGCCGTTCCCGTTCGTCAGCTGGTGGGAGCTGAACTTTCAAATCGTCGATCTTAATTCCTCCTCCTGGCCTACCTGAGCGTTTAGGTCTCCTATGATGATCTTGACGTCGTGGCTTGGGCAGCGATCGTACTCGCGGTCGAGCTGCGCGTAAAATGCGTCCTTGTCATCATCAGTGCTTCCGGAGTGAGGGCTGTGCACGTTGATTATGCTAAAGTTGAAGAATCGGCCCTTGATCCTCAACCTGCACATTCTTTCGTCGATCGGCCACCAACCGATCACGCGCTTCTGCATTTCGCCCATGACGATGAAAGCTGTGCCCAGCTCGCGTGTGTTGCCGCAACTCTGGTAGATGGTATGATTACCTCTGAACGTTCGCACCATGGATCCTGTCCAACACACCTCCTGCAGCGCTACGATGCCGAATCCGCGGTCCTTCAGTAGATTGGCGAGTATTCGGGTGCTCCCGATGAAATTGAGAGATCGACAGTTCCACGTGCCGAGTTTCCAATCGCAAGTCCTATTTCGTCGCTGGGGTCGTTGCCGTTGATCTCGGTTCGTATTCCTTCTTCTTCTTCTTCTTCTTCTTCTTCTTCTTCTTCCTCTTCTTCTTCTTCTTCGCATTTCAAGCTTATTGCATATTGCATATTAGCTTATAGCGTGCTCTCAACTTAGTGTTCTAGATGCACTTCCACAGTTATTAATTGAGAGCTTTCGATACCTGTACCATTTTTGCATTGGTATAATTGTGTGGCAAGTCCAATCATACTTCTATGCCCAGGGAAGTCGAGAAATTTTCCAACCTGAAAAATTCCTAGACCGGACCGGGAATTGAACCCAGCCACCTCCAGCATGGTCTTGCTTTGTAGCTGCGTCTTAACCGACTGAGCTAAGGGAGTATTCCTCTGTTGCTGATTTTCCGTTGCAATGCTTTTTTTACGGCTGGCTCGCAGGGCCTGACACCAACCCCCTAACTTTCCGGAGGACCAGGGTGCACAGTTGTACTTAGAGTCCTTCACTGGCACTCGGACGTAGATCAGCCGCCCCTAACATGGGAACAGACGCTGTTGTGAGCCGCTCCTCCTGGAGAACAGACGTTCAGGCTTGCCGAAGCAAACCCCCCTTCGCTGTCAGCCTATGACCAAAGTTCCCACCGGGGTTGGTTACCCGATCTTCCCTAAGGTTGCTCACAGTTCCCGGCCGGTACCACGGGGAGGTAGGGATAGGAGTTGCTGGGAAGAGGCTAGTGATCTCAATGGGATCTGTATTGCGCATTACCCAGCATTACTCAACACCACTTGGCACTGATGAAGTCTGCAAGTAGTAGACGAAATACGCGTATCTGTCAAAAGATAAGCAATTATAACGGAATTTAAAGGAAATAAACCAACCCACACAAAGCTTTGGGAAATACTGCTAAATATCCTTCAATATGGGTATTTCCGGAATCAGGATGACATCTAGAGACCAAAAATCGATGTGCATCGCCATCTTCAAATCCAAGTTGGTGGCTTCCGGTTCCAGAAAAAGTGGGAAATACTGTAAAATACTCTACAATATGGATATTTTTACAACAAAGACGACGTTCAGATGTCGAAATGGCGTCAGCCACCAATTTTCCGTCTATTGTAGGGTATTTGACAGTTTTTTTTTAATAAACAGGACTGTCATCTTAGATTCTAAAATTCCGTCGGACATAGATTTTGAGTCTCTACATATCGTCCCCATTCCGAAAATACCCATATTAAGGGGGTAACCAGAAGCTGTCATCTTTGAATTCAACATGGCATCGGACAGTAATTGCTAGTCCGTAGCTATCACCGCAGATCCCAAAATACCCACATTCATGGGTATTAGACAGTATTTCCAACTTTTTCTGTATCCTGTAACTGCTATTTTGGATTTCATGACACTCATTTTCTATTTATAGATGTCATTCTCTAGACGTCATTACTTTTCCAAAAATACTCATATTCAAGGGTATTTGACAGTATTTCTATCTTTTTCTGAAACCGGAAGCTACCATCTTGGATTTCAAAATGGCGTCGGACATTGATATTTGTCATCTACATGTCGTCTCAAAAAATCCATATTATTGGATATTTGACAGTTTTTTCTGAAATATCCATATTGAAGGGTATTTGGTAGTATTTCCCAATTTTTCTGAAATCATCAGCCACCATATTTGATTTAAAGATGGCGTTAGACATCGATTTTCGGTCTCTAGACGTCAGCCCGATTTCAAAAATATACATATTGAAGAGTATTTGGCAGTATTTCCCACTTTTCTGAAGCCGGAAGCCGCCATCTTGGATTTCAAAATGGCGTCAGAAATCGATTAACGGATTTTAGACGTCATCCCGATTCCGAACATATCCATATTCCATCCATATTGGTCTTGATCCACTGAACAACCTCGCCGAAAAAAGCAACTTCCTAGGATGGCAAGATTTTCAAAATATCACACAAACAAGGATATCACAAATTCATGTACACTAGCGCCGTACAGTGAGAAAATTTCGAACTTCTGTCCACCAACCGTTAAGTCTTGATCCACAGAACAACTTTGCCGAGGACAGTAGCCTTCTGTATGTCCAGGATCGCGAGATATTCCCTGTTGGTCCCTATTAGGTCAAATCCCGTATGCTACATGTACTCCATTGACGCGATTCCCTCGCATAAACGGAATCATTCGAGACCAACGTAAATGGAATTCGTGTAGACCAAGTTCGCGTTCTTCGGGAGAAGAGTGCACCTACAGCACTTTTGTGGGATTATATATAATACTAGCTGAGTGTGCCCGGCCTTGCTCGGGATTCAATATTAGCTTGAGTTTCTGCGCCGATTCAAAAAAGCATGCTATATTTTTCTGTTTTATTTGAATGGGAGCCCCTCCTCCCCCTTACAGAGGGGAAGTCTCGCACCATCATAAGAACCGTTTCCGGCCCCTAAAACCCCTGCATACAAATTCCGAGTCGATAAGGGTCAGACAGACAGACAATAATTCATTTTTATATAAAGGGGAACTTGATGTAATGTCGTCCTAAATGCCCCTTATTTGGGCCCATACATAAATTCAGCAATCGACTAAATTTTCAATGGCGTTCAACCATCGTTTTTCAGTGAATGTATATTGCAAGTTCAGCCCACTCTAGTTCATCATGCATAATAGATACAGATTTAAGTTCTAGCTAAAATTTGTAGCTAATATCAAATACTATCAAAGCTCTATTCATTATTTTACAAAAATCTGATGACGAAAAAAGATAGACGCAAATTAATGTAAATTAATGCACGAAATGAATGTAAATGGGTGGGTGGGGTCTAGAAGGAAAGGGGTTTAAGTGACTTTGATCGATTCTCTATATCGATTTTATCGTTTGATAACCACAGCTTTATAAACAGATTTTGCGCTATTTCTGCTACATACCTAGTTTGATAAAGCAAGTTCTCATCTAGCAACCAGAATGGCACACAAATCAAGGAATGGGTTTGCAGCTGAATTAGTAACGAAAGAAAAATTCGATGAAGAGAATCGATCAAAGTAACTTACACCCCTTTCCTTCTAACCCCCTCAAATGATTTTCCGTGCCTGCTCAGCTTATTGCGCATGCTCTCAACTTAGCTGTTCTAGATGCACTTCCACAGCTATCAATTGAGAGCTTTCGATGCCTGTACCATTTTTGCATTAGTATAATTTGTTTGGCAGGTACAATCCTCTTATATGCCCAAGGAAATCGAGCAATTTTCCAACACGAAAAATTCCTAGACCGGACCGGGAATTGATCCCAGCCACCTCCAGCATGGCCTTGCTTTGTAGCTGCGCCTTTAGCGACTGGGCTAATAATAGTGTCATTAATTTGAAAAAGAATGATACATTGAACGGCCTCCCCCGCTCTCCAAGTTGAACTGTAGTGGTGAAGACATTTTTTCGATCTCGTTGAAGACTTTTCCTCATATCACCTGGCATCCCTGTCGTTGCAAGGTGTAGAAGGCAGAGTCTCCAATATCTCAAACTTACGCTTTGTGTTCTCCTAGCGAAACTCAGTGAATCAACGACGCAGAAAGAAGAGCCACACAAAGCGAAAGCTGCAAACGAGTCGGAAAAGTTTACCAAAACTTTTTGCCTACGTTACAGGCGATTAGCTTTTTGTTTGCCTTTTCTTGTCGTCAGTCTGCAGCCAGGGTGAGAAGGAGGGTGCGGGTGAAAAGGAAACATGATGGAGCTATAAAAAATTGAATTGGGGCTTTGGCAGTCCTATGTTGCAGCCATGTGGCATGGGACTAGGAGGCACATATGTTAAATTCCTCCGAGAAAAAGGTTAAAGGCTGCGGGGAGGCAAAAATCATCGTTGCCAAGTTATGCAAATCGTATGAACAGAAATGGGTACGAAACCTTACTTGGGTGCCGTTCGCTATGTGGGGGTGGGTGAAAAAATTGAAAAAGGTTGTTGCTGTGAGGAATACGTACCTACGTCTAGCTGAATGAAATCTAAATTGCAAATTGTTTTCAGTTGAAAAGCTCGAAAAACAGTGTGAAAATCAACTATTCTACAATCTTAAACGAAACCGAAAAACAGTGAATCTATTTTTCATCAACCCATCTTCCCTCTCATTCTATCTCTTCCTCCGCAGGTCTACGTCAGCACGTCGCTAGCCAATCTGTACGAAAGCCTCGGCAAAGACGACTGGCGTCTGGTGTACACCGGCATCCCGGTTCTGCTGCACGACAAAGGATGCACCCGGTCCCGCTGTACGCCGAGGGTGAGCTTTGTCCTGGCAGAGCGGGGCACCTGCTTCGCCCTCTGGAAGGACACCATCGACAATCTGTCCGACTATAAGGTCGCAGCGGCAGCCTTTCACACCATGTGTCTCTCGGCAGGTAGGTGGATTATTAGCCATTCTCCGGTGCTAATAGAACGGAATGCTATAAAATGATGTGGTAGAGTTTGCTTTAGTTAGTTGCGAGCAAAAAACTAAGTAAGGATGATGCTGGCATTTATTAAAAGCGCATCAGCACCCCCCTGAGGTGCACGGAAAGGATGGAGTCAAATCTACGGATTGTCGGAAGCTATGGATTGAGGATATTAATATTTGAAGTGCTTTATTCTATTTAAAATCTAACAATATTAACCATGGTTATATGTGACTCATTAAAATTCTGACGGAAATGTTGGTACATCCACCCTTTTTTTACGTGACCTTATTTTCCTTTTTTCTTACACGGATAAAAAATACTACCCAAAATTTGAGTTATTTTTACTTAAAACTCTCACTTGCACTTGTTGTCAAAAAAAAAAAAAAGAACAAGAGATTCGACCCAACGATAAAGTTCAGCCCAATAAGTTACTTTTGAGTAAATTGCATATTCTAAAATTTACGCGAATTAAACTTAATTTTGGGTAGAATATACTTAAGAGTAGGTATTTTTTTGCTGGTGTTAAAAGGAAACTACTATTTGCGATATGCTCACATTTGGGTTATTGGGCTGAGCTTTGAAATTGAGGGAAAAGTACTTAATTTTGGGTAGTTTTTCATCTCCGTGTATGTTCTTGGTACTTGATGGTTACACTCACAATCACCGTTAGAACGGTAATGTTAAAACTAGAGAGGGTCTAATATAATAGAAGAGCTGGCTGATTTTGAGCCAAACGAACTGTTAAAGCCAGTGCCAATCGAGTAGCGTCTATCTTGATTGTATTGGCAGTGTTGCTAGAAATTATCTAGCAGGGCTGGTAGCGAGTCACTTTTTTCTAGCTACTTGCTCCTTTTTGAAGGCCAAGCCTCTAAAGTCACTGTTTCTTGTAATCCGTCAGTTTTTTCCAACATTTTTCTGTAGGATGCCTACATGTTATTCTAATTTTCGAATAATTTGAAAATGTTCAGCTTCTACAGAGTTTTTTGGACGTTTAATCATCTTTATTTATTTACAGAGTGTCTACCAACGGGTTGGTAACTCCGCACAGTGTGCCAAAATTACAGATGGACAGTTTGATCGAGGTTGGGATCGAGGGATCGAGGTGGCATCGTTCCGGAAGCTGATTGAAAAGATGACCATGAAGCGACTGCTACTGGTCATAATTCCGATTCGGAATGTGATTAGTGAGTTGGCTATTGGGGAGAGCGAGACTCTGAAGGGGGAAGCGAATGGAAAGCTCAAGACGTTGGTAGATCGATTTGGGGCGGAGAGATTCGTGACGGAGCTGAAATCACTAGCGTGCACAGGAATCTTGTTAAGGAGGGGCAATTTTTTTTCTATGATGCATTCAACCTGGGTATATGGAGTACTCCAAAGTTCGTGGTGGATGGTGCTATCCACCCACCACTGTTTTCCTACTATTCAATTTAACTAATTTTAGATGGAAGAAGATGAACTCTTCAATGCAAACTGCTTTCAGACAGCCAATGGAAATTTTCAATTTAATCCCATCGACGATGTCGATAATGATCGGCTCGTCAAATGGTTGCGATAGTAGGCCTTTAACCTAAATGATACATTTGCTGCAATATTGTTGCCTTGGTGGTTGGATTCAGCTGAAGTCACGTCAGATGGTGGTAATAGCACCGACAAACCGACAGAATGACCAATAAGAATCGCATTCTCCTTTCGCATGTAAACAGTGCGCATAGTGGTGAACAAACAAAGTTTATGGTTTTAAAAAATTTCCACGCTTCCATACTACCAACATGGGTTTCACTGCGATTCTGTTTGCCCAGCAACTCGGTCGCTGTCTTCCAATTTCTGAACCCTGTAGGAATCGGATCGTCCGAAAAGACCGGCAACGAAATGTTTATTTGTATAGAATTGGTTCTGAAAATCCAGAATAACATTAAAAATAGTTTTTGAAGTTTCTACAATTTCTTGGAAGTTACATAAAGTTACAGCTCGAATAATATTTTGATAGAAAAATGTTGTATTAATTTTTTGCGTCATGCTCTTCTTTACAGGTTAAAAATATAAACCAAAGAAAATATATTTTTCATATACCTTTCTAAAAAATTTTGCAGTGCATTTTTGTATATTTTGAAGGCATCGTTTATTTTTTACTATTTAAAGGTTTTGTAAGCCCTATATGCTGTTGTTGTTACACTTTACAATTACCGTTGCGAGTACGTTGAACTTGGCCATTTTCAGCGAAAATTGTAATTATATTTTTTTTTTTCAAATTTGACCTAAATGCCAAGGCTAATAGGATCATTAAAAAGGTTTAAAAAATATGTAACGATTCGATCGAAAGTGCACAAAACTATTCTGACAAGCGAGTACAGTATTGTTAACGGAATGACGACTTGTGCGAAGGATTGAGCATGTCAACCCTGTCCCAAAGTACCGCCAGTCGGGGTGACAGAAAATGATGCCGAACATTCAACATGTTTTAGAGATGATATACATAAAGGACAAACCCGAGTTTATTGCAACGCACATAGACAGCTGAAACTTTTTAGCCATGGTTACAAATGACTTGAAATTTTCAGAGAAGATTCTTAGACGAATTCTCAGTAAGACAACAAAAAACCAAGGTTCAATGGCAAACTAATACCCACTTTTCAATTAGGAAATCCAAAATCTGTCTTTAAACTTCGTACAGTAGCGAAAAAGTCCATCATCAGAATTCCTTGAGGTTCTTTTCGAAATTTTTAGAACTCTATGAGTTCTTCTTAAATTCTTCTCGGAAGTCCTCTGGAATTATTTTTAGAACTTTTCTTGACTTTTACTCAGAATACCTTGGAACTGAAATTCCCTTAGAGTTTCAGAAGAATTTCCTCAGTATTATCCAGAAAGTATTCCCGGAATGAGTTAGAAGTTATCGGTACGCTCTTGAAATTTTCCTCAAAATCCCTTTGGAATTTCACTTAAAATTTAATTTTCTCGGTATTCTTTTCGGAATTATCTGCAGGATTCACTAGAAATTATTCGCAGAATTTTCTTGCAATACTCCCCAGAAATCCTTTGGAACTGTCCTCAAAATTCAATATCCTTGAGGATCTTCTCGGATTTTTTTAGAACCCCCCTAAGAGCTCTTTTGAAATTCTTCTCAGAAGTCCACTGAAATTATACTTAGAACTCTTCATTTTTTTTCTCAAAACACCTCGGAGCTGAAATTCAATTAGAGTTTCAGAATTTTTTCCTGGAATGAGCTAGAAATTATCCTCGGAATTCACTTTGAAATTTTACTCAAAATTTGATGTTTTTGGTATTCTTTTCGAAATTATCTTGGAACTATCTGCAGGATGCACTAGAAATTATCCACAGAATTTTCTTTAAATTCTCTCCGAAATATTTTGAAACTGTCCTTAGAATTCAATATCCTTGAGGTTTTTCTTGGAATATTTTAGAACTTTTTTTTTTTCTCAGAATACCTTGGAACTGAAATTCCCCTAAAGTTTCAGAATAATTTCCTCTTTATTTTCCAGAAATTCTTGCCAGAATGAGCTTGAAATTATTCTCGGAATTCCCTTGAAATTTTTCTCAACATTCCTTTTGAATTTCATTCAAAATTTGATTCTTTCGGTATTCTTTCCGAAATTCGGTATTATTTTCGACAAATTTGTCCGTTCATTCACCAACACGTTGTAGTTTTTTCTACCAAAAATTTTCAATAAAGCTTGCCCCTCCATTCACCAGAACTGTGCAATTTTTCATCCGGACTGTTTAATTCAGCTTGCCCCTCCATGCTGCAGATTGTTGCAAATCTTACACCAGAAATGTTCAATACAAACTTGCCTTCAGAAATTTTTACACCAGAAATTTCAATTGACCAGAACGATGCAAATTTTCCACCGTTAATGTTCAACAAAAATTGCTTCTCCAATCTTCTGATTGGTGCAGATTTCCTTTTTTCCATTTTCCACCAGACATTTTCAGTATAGCTTGCTTCTCCTATCATCAGAATGTTGCAGGTTTTCTATCAAATAAAGCTTGCCCCTATTTTCAGATGTTTCATCATAAATTTTCAGTAAAGTAGCTTCCCTCCAAACATCAGAATGGTGCAAATTTTACACCAGAAATAATTTTTAAAGTTTGTTTCTCTATTCAGCAGAAGGATGCAAATTTAACACCAAAAATTTTCCGAAAAGCTTGCCCATCCGTTCACCAGAACGGTGCAGATTTTCCACCAGAAATTTTCAATATAGCTTAATTTAAAATAAAGCTTGTGCCTTAATTTACCAGACAAGTGCATGTTTTCCACCGGACATTTTCTGTTCATTTCATTTATCAGAGCGATGCAAATCTCGCACCAGAAATTTTCAATAAAGCATGCTCCTCCATTCACCAGAACGATGCACCAAAAATTGTCAGTGAAGTGTGTTTCACCATGCAACTTTGTGGTGAAATTTTAGATGAAACTTGCATTCATAAGAACGATGAAAATTATGCACCAGAAAAATGAATAAACCTTGCTTCTACATTCACCGCAGTATTGCGAACTTTCCACCGGAAATTTTCACTTAAAAGTGCACCTCCAAATTTTTAGCGTGATTCATTTTTTCCACCAGAGTTATTTATTTTGATTAGTCCCTCCATGCATTTCACCTTGATTTTTACACCAGAAATATTAAATAAAAAACTTTTTCTTTGATTTACCACCACGAAGGTGAGTTTTTTCAACCTTAAATTTACCCCTTTGTTTAAACCCCTCCATGCACAACCTTAAAAAAAAATTGCACCAGAAATTTTTTGTATGCACTATTGTGGTGCAAATTTTTTCACCAAAAAATTTCATTGAAGTTTGTCCCTTCATGCACCTTGGTGGTGCAATTTTCAGGCATCATCTCAAAGGAATTGACGCAATAAAAGGTTTTCAGTGCCCTTATATTATGAAATGAAGTTATTTTACCTTCAAACCAAGTAATCAAGAAAACAAGTTATTCTATATAATATTTAATTTTGTAAATGTGGAAATAAAAATCTTATTTATAATATGGGGGGGGGGGCAATTGCAGGGGGAGGTTAAGTGGAATTGTAAGATGTTGATTGGACAGAAGGTGAGCTCCTGAAAGTCGACATCGGTGAGTTGGTTGAAGGATATGTTTAGCTCTCGGACACGACCCTGGTATTTTTTTTTCCTTGATTTGTTTTCCGTCGATCTTGTTTTCCATACTGAGCACCAATGCTACCGACGCCAGGAAGGCAGCTCCCACACCTGGACGCTACCTATCAACCCATTAATTCATGAACCGCGGAGCAACGGCTTTACTTCCCTTCTGAAGGAAGGCGTGATCAGAGATGTTATGCCTTATGAGATACTAATTGGATAAGCCTAAAACATTAAACATTTATTTGGTGCGCCATCAGAACAGCTTTTTTTTGTCTCTTAGGTCACTTTTTAGTCACTTTATTTGCAACTATAAGTCACTATTTTGTCACTTATTTCTTCAACATGGTCACACTAAAATCACTGTTTTTGACAGCATTGATCGCTACCAGCCCTGATCTAGGCATAAGCTAGGAAGGTAGTTTTTTTTAAATCTGCTTCTCTTTTCTACTAAACCCTCTCTAATTAAAACCTGTTAAAATGTAGAATACCCTGCATTCCAACCGTTTCCACGGTGCTAAATGAATACTTTTCTTTTTGCTTCTGTTCCCTCATTGCAGACCACCGCAAGGTGATTGGCTTCAGCTTCGACTCGAACCAGGCCGCCCGCGAGATGTGGGTCCGGGTGGAGGAACTCATCAGCAATCCAGAGAACATTGCCCTGTCCGCGCCGGGCCGGAAGCGAAAGACCAAGAAGAGCGCCAAGCCCATCATTCTGCCGCCGAAGTCGCAAATTTCGCAACCCTGCCAGTTCCACCACGTCACCAGCGTTACCACCAACGACACACCGCGTTACTTCAGTCTGCAAGCGTTTGTGGCTCCTCCGGTCAAGCACCGGGAACCCTAGGGTCAGGCCAATGGCCGTCCGATTCATAACTTTTTGTTTCCATAATATTTTAATTAGCCATAATTGACAAATGGGCGGTCACACGTATATGTTGTGGATAAATAGGAGTTATGTATTTTAATTTATGGGCACTGATTAACACAGCGCATCACCCTAATGTTTTAATCCAACCGTTTAATGAATGCAATGGAAGTTTTAATTTTTAATCAATCTTGCTGATTTCCGACAAGGGAAATTAATTCGTATAATTAAATGCCATCATCAGTGCTCCCTCAAATTGTCCACGCTCGCTGTTAAGCACATAATTGGATTCAATGCGTAATGCGAAATGGCCCGAAATTTATCAAAGTAAGTTGACTTTGGGACTCATTTAACAGTAGGATTATCAAATCAATACATAAATATACTTAACTGACACTCACAAATATTTGAGAAGGATGGTTAGGTCTTTCAAAAGCGGCATGGTGCTGAGATGAACTGATGAAAAGAGTTATTCAATATGAGATAAGGAAAAACAGTAGACCACAGAATGATAAAGTATGGGATCGTGCTAACTAGTTGTACAATTGTGTACATATTGTTTCTGTGATAAATTGATGGGTATGTGGCATGTAAAACTATTTGGAGTAGACGAAAAGCTATCATCGCGTGAATCCAGAAACATCCATAAAAAAAACGAATGAACAGCAATAAGTAGAAACCAGGACAACCGAAAATGTAATAGTGTAGAAGTTGAATTGCAGTTATGAACAGAACTCCATCCCGACCACGGATGGGCGGCATTGTCTGCTTTTTAATTGAAAAGTATATTTCCACGAGCACTTAAAATAAAATTAAATCTTCTCTTGCCCCCACCCATCCTACCTGTAGGCATAATACACTGAATGCATCTTTCATTAATGCCACTATGAAATTGCATCATATCGCATCACCATTATAACCGAACGAAATACAGAAAACGGCAGCTGGATGGATTTTTAATTGAAAATCCATTTTTTCAGGGAAACAAGCAACCGACAAACGACAAAACGACAACCCTAACCAGGTCCTCATCGTCATTCATAGTGAATTCAATTGATGTAACGGGGAATATGTTCGTGTAGTGAACGGGACGCATTCACTACAACAGAACTACTTATAGCTTTTAGAATTTAAGCTTTCAATACTGTAATTCAAAACCGAAGCGCAAAAGTGCGTCATTCGTGTTAATTATCCCACAAAAAAAAAACAAATAAGTTATTTCTGCACAAATTCACCCGCAGCTAAGAAACGCTCCTTCAAAGTTGTTATTGAAGTTTAAGTACATGGAACCTAGCAAAATAGTCAACCCTAGTATGTAAGAAGATGAACACTGAAACTTTAATTAAGTCCATCGAATCAACAGCAAAAAAATAAACAGAGATGTTCTGCTGTGTAAATAATTCTATGCGTGTAAGTTCTGATATCAAATTAAAGCAGATATGTGCATATTTGGGGGGCTTTACGTACCTACCTTTGATAATATCACTGCCAGTCGCAACGAAACAACGAGAAAATGACGACTTGACATATTTGTATAATTTGATGTTATCCTGCTGTTCAAAATATTTTCATTTCAACATAAATTCAGTACCAACATTTCAAAAGGGTGCAACTTACAAATGTAAACAAACTTTGTTTTTATTGAAATAGACAGCAAGTGATCCAATACTATGAACAAATTCATAAAATTAAAAAAAAATATTTTGTCACCCTAAATTAATATCAACAAAAAGGCGTAACACGCTATGTCTGAGAGAACTTTTTTTTAACTTTCATGTAACTCTTTTTTTCCCTCACAAGAAATTGGTATTGATATGATGGTGATGATGGTCCCACCTCTTACCCCTGCAAAGGTTTGAGCTGGACGATTTATCTTTAAGATTATTAAATATGACATTTTAACCAGGTTAGCCAACAAAATCGAACTGGTTTCAGTTACAGATTTAAATTCCCTCTAGAGTTTACAGTTGCTTCACAGCGATATAAAAGTGAAAAAGCTTAGGCGTCCACCTCTTAGTTCACCTTTTTTGTTCACCTAAAATATTTATAAGTATTACAAGCAAACAAGAGTTAATGAACAATCAACAAAAGCGTCCTATTACACTAGCAACCCCGCAATCTGATGCTATCATAATTTTCAGCAATGTCAGGAATGCTCACGAACCTTCAAAATTTGCCAGAAAACTTACTACTAACTTAAGATAGCCCAGGAATGGATAGAATCAAGTTCACCTTGCTTAAAAATCTCCCAGATGTTGCGAAGAGACGAAGGCACTTTTTTTTTGCAACATTCATGTACCTCAGTTTTTTCTTCACAGGATGTTAGTATTGATCCTAACAATCAACTCTGTGATGGTTTGAAAATATTTCATCTTGGGTTTTTTTTTAGAAAAGGTGTTTTGAAGTTTACAACGCCGATAACAACGCCGATATATTGGACTATTGACGATACAAAACTATTGCGAATTGAACAAATGCAGTTAAATCAGGTTCAAAAGTTGATTGAATTATTCCAAATGGCTAAAAGAATTCTCTTTGACACTCAAGCAAGATGCGTATTGATTACGTCGACTTTGCGCAGAAATCAATTAATATTTGTTGCTAGAACAACTTCTTGTTTAATGTCTCTTCCCTCCTTTCCTTTGGTTTGTTTTTTCCGTCGATCTTGTTTTCCGTGCTGAGCACCAATGCTACCGACGTGCCAGGAAGGCAGCTCCCACACCTGGACCCTACCTATCGACCCATCAACTCATGAACCGGGGACCAACGGCTTTACTTCCCATCCGAAGGAAGGCGTGATCAGAGATGTTATGCCTCAGAACATCCCGGCGAACATCGCTGTCCTCGGTGCCCACTTTCGGAATTCCCACAGACAACGACGACCTACCGATCAACCAACCATTCTCCTGGGAAGAATTCTCGTTCGCTCTTAGCCGGAGCAACGGAAACTCGGCCGGACCGGATGAAATCGGATACCCACTGCTGAAGCATCTACCGCTCGAAGGGCAAACACAATTGCTCGAACTCTACAACCAGCTATGGAACAACGAAGAATACCCGGACGAATGGAGGGAAAGTCTCGTGATCCCGATCCCCAAAACAAATATAGGGACCAAGGACGTCACAGGATTTCGCCCCATCGCGCTGACCTGCTGCATGGCCAAAGTCTTGGAGCGGATGGTCAACAGAAGTCTCAAGCAATACCTGGAGTCTAAGGGACTGCTTGACCATCGACAGCACGCCTTCAGGCAAGGGTACGGTACTTCCACCTACTTCGCCACTCTTGGAGAAGTCCTGAAGGAGGCACAGGACCAAGGCCATCATACGGAGATCGTCTCGCTGGACATCTCCAAAGCATTCAACAGAACGTGGACACCAGCAGTAATGAAGAAGTTAGCCGAATGGGGACTAAAAGGACGCATCCTACACTTCGTCCGAAACTTTCTGACCGACCGATCTTTTCGTGTGTCGGTCGGAAACGTCCAATCCAGAAGGTTCAGCGAAGAAACCGGAGTACCACAGGGTTCGGTCATCACGGTCACCCTCTTCCTGGTGGCCATGAACGGGGTCTTTGACAAGCTACCCAGGAACATATATATTTTCGTCTACGCGGATGACGTCCTCATTGTAACGGTGGGCCCCACCCTGCAGAAGACGAAATTAAGGGCGCAAGCGGCAGTCTCCTCGGTGGTCAGATGGGCTGACTCCGTTGGGTTCCAGCTTTCCGCCGGCAAGAGCGTGCGCTGCCATATATGCACCACCCGGCATCGGAACAACGGACAGCCCATCATGATCAAACAGCAAGCGATACCGACCAAAAACACAATAAGGGTCCTGGGAGTGCTCCTCGATCGGAACCTATCCCTCGAGCCGCACTTCCAACAGGTGAAGAAGGACTGTCGTAGTCGATCCAACCTGATGAAGACCATCTCCCGCCCCCACCGATCCAACAACCGTGAAATCCGCTTCCGAGTAGCCCGAGCCATCATCGACAGTCGCCTATTGTACGGCGTAGAACTAACGTGCCTTGCCGCCGAGAAAGCCGTCCAAATCTTGGAACCGGTCTACAACGGATACGTAAGAACAGTCTCCGGTCTCCTGCCCTCCACCCCGGCCGACGCCGCGTGCGTGGAAGCCGGTATTCTGCCTTTTCGGCTCGTCTACACCGCAGCTACCGCTACCAAAGCCGCTGCCTTCCTCGCTAAAACGTCGGGAAACAGCAGGATCTTTCTCCTCGACGAGGCGAACCGACTCCTCCGCACGGTCGCCGACGTAGATCTCCCTCCAGTGGCCAGGGTCCACTGGCACGGAGACAAAAGTTGGCAATCACATCAGATCAGAATCGACAGCCGAATCAAGGACCGCTTCAGGGCAGGAGACAATACACTGGCTTTGCGCCGGACAGTCGTTGAAACTCTCGGGGCGCACTATCAAGATCACGAAATCAGGTACACTGATGGCTCGCTCTCCAGCAGCGGAGTGGGAATGGGGGTTTCAGGAGATAGTTTATTCGTCAGCAATTCACTTCCGGCCCAGTGCTCGGTGTTTTCCGCTGAGGCAGCGGCCGTCTTTCACGCAACCACCCTTCCGGCCAATCGGCCGATCCTCATCGTTACCGACTCACAAAGCGCAATAATGGCCCTAACCGATGAAGCACCAAAGCATCCGTGGATACAAGGGACGGTAACGCATGCGCCGCCCAACACCGTATACATGTGGGTACCCGGGCACTGTGGCATCCAGGGGAACGTGATCGCCGACCACCTCGCCGGCTCAGGCCCCATCGGACCCAGGTTCTCTGACAATGTTCCGTTCCAGGACATCAAAAAATGGATCAAGCGGACGGTTCGGAGAGCGTGGAACAACGAGTGGAGGAACAATCGAACTCACCAACTACGAAAAATCAAGGCGACCACCGATCCCTGGAAGGATCGACCGAGCCTCAAGGAGCAGCAAGTGGTGTCCAGGCTGCGCACCGGGCATAGCAGGGCCTCCCATAATTTCGGAGGAACACCGTTCCGGAGAACCTGCGATACCTGCGGAGTGCCAGCCTCCGTAGAACACATCCTCATCAACTGTGTGGAGCTCGAGGACCTTCGGGTTGCCTTCGGTCTGGAGGGAACCAGCATACAAAGTCTGCTTGGTGACGAGTCCCCGGCAGCAGACGCCCTCATCGCCTTCCTGAAGGAGGCGAATCTTTTTTACAACATTTGAGTGTTTTCTGTTTGTGCTTTTGAATTCGTTGGCCCTTTTGGTAGTGTTTTACAATATTTTATATAATTAAGCTAAATGCCCACTTGCCAAGATTGGGATCCTCCTTTTGAGGTCCCAATTCTTTTTTGTAATTTTTAAAAGAGATGAACTAGCCTTAGGCTAAAAATCTCTCTAATAAAGAAAAAAAAAAAAAAAAAAAAAAACATCCCGGCGGCGCCGACTGGGATTGAACCCAGGCCTGCTGGGGTGAGAGGTAATCACGCTTACCACTACACCACCGGCGCCGTTATGTATCTTCCCTCATAAGAGTAAAAGAGAAATAAACAAGGACAGTCCAAGGCAGCCACGTAATCATAGTAGGCATTGATTTTCTGCCTGTTTCGAGTGTTTTTTTGAATCTCTCGAAGAAAATAGAGAGTTCGCTTGTTGTGCTTCAAAAAGCGACCCTGTCAAAAAAAAAAAAAAAAATCACGTCGCTTTAGTAGCAACGTTTGTTGAAAGATTTTTATCAGAGTTCAATAAAGAAGTAAGTAGGTATCTGAAATGTTTGTGTCCCGCACTCAGCTGTTGTTTGAAAATCGGTTAACAGATAATGCCGATAATACAGGAATGAAACTCACATGATATTAGCTGCTCTTGCCCAGTGAGTTTAGGTAGCCTTCACCTTTAATTACTACAGAATTGCTAGAGCTTCATTGCAGTTCCCATATTTTTTGTCTAAGGTAGCTTTCAGGAAGGCTCAGCGACTTTCTAGGAAATTCTGCGAACTATAGGGAACTGTAGTGAATTTAAGAAAAGTTAAAGACGTTCCTCAAAAGAATCAGAGAAGTTTAACAACCTTCAGATAAGTTAATTGATCTCAGTTCAGAAAAAGATGCACACCAAATTTTGAGTTCAAGTTCCAGCAAAATGAATTACTGAAGTGTATCCAGCAAAAGCAAGTTTTGCTGTAAAACCAGTAATCGATATTATTACGCTGATTGTTCCAACTAACAGAATTAAATGTCAAAATCAAGATCGGTTCTATCGTTGGCTGCTGCGAGCTATGAGATAATTTTTCAGTCGGTGCACATCATAAATTTATCACTAGAAAATCAATAATGCTGCGGAAGTCATGAAGTAAGCGTAAAATTCAAACTTTAAGCA